AATGATCCTCCTGCCTCAGCCTCCTGAGTGCTGGGATTACAGGCGTGTGCCACCACACCTGGTTCCTCTTCCCCTTTTGAAGCTGTAGCTCTTACTTAAAACACACATTGCCTTACTTTATGATGATATTTACACACTCATAAACCTCCAGAAAGAAGAAACCATAACTTCATATATCATTGTCAGTAGATTGCTTTCATTATGTGGCAGGCACTGTTCTAAGTGCCAGTACCAACATTCTCCTAAGTGTGGCCTCACAGTTCCACAACCCTGTTTGCCTATTAGCAATAAAAACTTGTGGCCCTAACCTTCTGCCTTAGTCTTGGGGCAGGTGGATACAGTCAAGTTCGAGAATCACTTCCTTGACAAGATTGGCTTTAGAGTGTTGAAAGACTGAATGGAGTTAGCTAGCTCTATCTCGGTTTACAGGGACCACACCACCCAGAGAGGAACAACGGAGGGTCTGTAGATGCAACTGAGTTACAGCCACACAGCCTCTGTCCACTGTCCACCATGGGCCATGGACCCCGGGAACTACTCAGAGGCGCAAGTCTTTTTTTTTTTTTTTTTTTTGGTCTTTTTGAGACAAGAGTCTCGCTACGCAGTTGAAGCTGGCCTTGAGCTCACTTTGTAGCCCAGGCTGGTCTCAAACTCATAAGATCCTCCTGCCTCAGCCTCCCAAGTGCTGGGATTATAAGTGTGTGCCACCACGCCCTGCTCAAATCTTTGCCTCTCTTTCTCCTCCACCTATTTTAGTTTCCCAAAACCATGGCTGCTCGTTGGGTGATGATTTATTGCCTTTTCACACTTTGAGGTATTAGTATGTGCACTCTAGTGTAAGGTACTCCTGGAAGGTGTGTGTGTGTGTGTGTGTGTCTAGTACTAGGGTTTGAACCCAGATCCTTTGCACTGAGGTTACAACTACAGCCTCTTTTTATTTATTTATTTTTTTAGAGACAAGATCTCACTAAATCAACTGAGTTGTCCTGTCTGGACTTGAATTTGCACTCCTGCTGCCTCAGCCTCGCAGAGTGTTAGGATTACAAGCATGGGCCACAGACCCCTTGTTTTTTTTTTTATTTTATTTTATTTATTTTTTTTATTTTTTGGTTTTTCTCCGGTACCAGGAACTGAACTCACGACCCTGCGCTTGCCAGGCAGGCGCTTTTGCCGTTGAGCTAAATCCCCAGCCCCCCAGACCCCTTGTTAACATGGTTGTTATGGTTGATACATTGTGTCAACTTGGGGAGTCTAGAGGTTTGGCTAAGTGACTCAGCAGGAAGCCAGGGTGCTTACTTTGTATACATCCTGAGCCTGTGGAAGAGGAGGGCATGGAGATTATGTGAGAGCTACACACCCCTTAAGTGGGGGTAGCCTGTTTACAAAGTAAGGGAGGGAAAGAACCTGCTTGCCTCCATTCCTCAGGTTTGCTCTGGCTGTTTGCTGTTCAGCTGCCATTCCCCCCTTTGCTCTTGTTGCTTTGCTACCTTCTGCCTTGGAGCCAGCCAAGTATGGACTGAAACCTCCACAAACTGTAAGCTAAATAAACCTTTCCTTCCTTCATTTTGGGCGTTGGGTATTTTGTCTCAGCAACGAGAGAAAAGTAACTAAGACAATGGTTTAAATAATACTAATCATTTACTGAGTACTAACATGGCTCACAACTCAGTGAAGCAGGTGCTATCACTTATACCTATTTTATAGATGAGGAAATTGGAGGTGGATGAGGTCAATGACTTGCCCAAAGCCACACATCTAGAAAAATATTGAGCCAATATTTGGAACTACTAAGATCTGTTGGGTATGAGTGACCACTGAATCATACTGTTTCCCTCAAGTTAAAAGGCAGTCCAGTATTTACTGGGCACCTGCTGGAGCCTTGGCATTGAGCCTAATCATTTAATAACATACCCAATTAGAGACTTTAAGAACATGTTTCCATTTCCTTGCCCAAAGATGGTAAATTCATATAGCTGATCCCATCCATGGGAGCAATTTTAAATAAACATGTTAACAAAAGCTGCGACTGAGTATCCAGTAGAAGTGTCCACTTAGCCAGCATCTTTAGCTGACACATTTAGACATTTGCCCCTCCCCCTCCCCAGGCAACCAGTTATCAAGCATCTCCAGCTGGTTACCTTATCCTCAGAAAGGAACATCTGTTATCCACTCTTGTTACCTTCCAGATCAATAAAGGTATCCTCATCCCTCTCCCCTTTAAAGTGAATATCCTGGAATATCCTGACCTCAGGAGCGCTTTAGACAAAGTCAGCACATCTGAGGTGATTCCGCCTCTCTTCATTCCCACAGAATAGCTGCCATTAGGGGCAGAAGTTAAACACACGGCTTAGTTTTTTACTGTGGAACAGAGGCTGACCTCTCCCACGTTGAGGACACCTTTTCTGCCACTCCTCACTGTCCACATGCTGAGCTGAGCGTGTCGTCCCTGAGGTGTGCTATTCAGCACAAACCTAATTTGTAGAAATTGTTCTCTGAAATCCAGGAATAAACTCTCGGCTATTTTCAGACAAAGATAGAGGTAGGAGTCTGTAGAAATGAGCTAGGAAGGAGCTTAAAATACTTCACATTCCAGAAACACCCTCCCTTCCCCCCAGGACATGGCTTTATTCCTACTGTTTCTCAGCAGAGTGGCACTGGAAGGAGCCCTACGAGGCAGCTGGTGCCAGCTTTGTGGACTTGAACAAATAGCTTCCATGTCTGGGTTTCAGTTTGCTTATTTGTGAAATGGAGCCAACACCCTGCTCTCCAGGTTATCGTAAGGTTGCTAGTTGCAAAACAACTAGCCACAGCGCCTGCACTGATGGACCCCTACAGATTTACTGAACACCCATGAATTCTCTTAAGGTCCAGTAAAGGGAGAAAGGTCTTACAGATTAGTCTCTTTGGGCTGGGGATTTAGCTCAGCAGCACAGCGCCTGCCTGGCAAGCGCAAGGTCATGAGTTCAATTCCTGGTACCGGGACCGACCCCCACACACAAAAAAAAACAACACATTAGTCTCTTGACAAATGGCCTCAAAGGATAGCAGCCAGTCAGCATGGCACATGCCTATAATCCTAGCACTCTAGGAGGCTGAGGAAGGTGGGCTGCAGGTTCAAGCCCAGCCTGGGCAACTTCGTGGTTGAGTGAGATCCTAGCCCAAAATTAGAAAATAAGTAAGAAAGGACTGGGATGTAGCTCAGTAAAAAGACCCTGGTTACCAAAAAAAGGAGGATAGGTTTAGAAGGTAGCTTTGCTTTAGATCACTTGCCTAGCATGCCCAAGCGGTGCCTCGGGTTCTGTCCCCAGCATCTCAAGTGCTCATGAACTCAAAGGAAGGCAGACAGATGGGGAGTTTTAAGAAAAGGTTTCTAAGCTGGGTGTGGTGGCGCATGCCTGTAATCCCAGCACTTGGGATGCTGAGGCAGGAGGATCATTGTGAGTTCGAGACCAGCCTGGGCTACAAAGTGAGCTCAAGGCCAGCCTGAACTGCATAGCAAGACCCTGTCTCAAAAAAAAACCAAAAAAAAAAAGAAAAGTTTTCCAGTAACTGACTCTATTTTATCAAATACTTATTAGGTTTGTGACCTAAGGGCACTAAGGTATCAAGTGGAAAGTTTACCTAAAAAGAGACTGAACTTGGGACCCCCACTTTAGTATGTGATTTTGAGAGAGAGATCATCTTTCTAGACACAATTACCACATGGCAATATATCGCTTACTTACCAGGTTGTGGTGAGGGTCACCAGGTAAATGTGGGAAATTTAAGAGTAGCTTCTTGACCCTACACAGGCTCCATAGCAGTTCAGGCAGGCAATAACCAACCCCGGTCCCAGGGATAAGGCAGGATTAATAGTGGCCAACCGGCTTTCTCTCACCATGATGTTCCCAGACTTTCTGAACAGCAACTGTTTTCTTTTCAGTCCCAGACGGGGCCTCTTTGGAGCAAGACTCTCCAGCTTAGCACACAAATGGCAAAGTGACTGGCTAGTCATACAACATGTGCTCCACTGCATCCCAGTAGGTGGCAGGCACAATGGCCCCAAAGAGAGATAATTTCAACAAACAGCGTGATGGAACTCCATGTGTACTTCCCCTACACAGCCCACGCTAACCCAGAAATGTGGTCATTATATTGTACCAGTTAAGATCTCTGAAAATAGGGGCTGGGGATTTAGCTCAGTGGCACAGTGCCTGCCTAGCATGCGCAAGGTCGTGAGTTCGATTCCTGGTACTGGAAAAAAACCAAAAAACCAAAAAAAAAAAAAATCTCTGGAAATAGGGTTCCAAATTTCCACTTACTTGTTGTGTGACCTTGGGTAGTTCTGTTTCTTCACTTTCCTCATCTGTAGCCCTGGCATGTGAAGTGGGCAGAGTGCTTAGACATACAGTATCCCATGAGGAAGAGCATTAGGAAATTCTCCCATTTTGAATTTCAAGTAAGTTTATGGGAGAACTATGGGTAGAAAAGAGAACCTTAATTATTTTCCTTTCATTAATGAGGGGGGAAAAGAAAAGAAAAAAAATCATATAAAACATTCTCAGAGAATTTTTAAAAGACATCCTGTAAAACATCATCATAACACTAAAATAAGAATGACTCCATCCCAAAGAATATGAGGCTTCATGGTTTAAAAGCAATTTAAGTCTACTACCAGACTTAATATCTGCAAAAATCCTGTGAAAGAGTATCTGTCCCCATTTTACAGATAAGGGAACCAAGAGTCAGAAAGCAAAGCTAAAAGGCCACAGAGTGGTTGAGCTGGGATTTCAAGCCTTCTAAAGTACAAATTCAGCACTCTTCACAAGAGAATTTCGTTTCCACTGAGTACTGAGCCTACATTGTTTAGACATGCCTGAAGTGGCATTTCAGGAACCCAGAGTGGAATGACCAGGTTTGCAATATGGTTAGAGAAATGCATCCGTCTGGATCACTATACTACCCTAAAATAGTTTTCCTTGGTTCAGGAGGACTCAAATAGCATAAGCTGCCCCCACTGACATATTTGAGAAATCTTTTATTAGAAGATGTCCCAGAAGGCAACAGTTTAAAATCAGGCAATCAGTAATCACAACTAAATACAAAATTTCAGGTAAACTTGCCTTTCAAAATAAATGAGACCCTTGCAACAGGAGAAATGACCAAGTTTTTTTTTCCTTGTACAAAAACAATTAACACCACTTTGCAAAAGGCATACAAAAATACAGTATAAAAAAAAAAAAGATTCCTCCCAGCATAATACCCAGCAGCAGCTTATAAAACACCAGCTATTCAGGTGGGACATTAGTAAGCTATTTCCCACCTGTCCTTCCAAGACAGTTCCAGAAGTCAGCTGGCTCCTGAAAACCCTGCTCCAGAAGGTAGAATGTCTATACATCCAAAAGTTCTACTAGGGTTCTCTGAGGCTAGGAAATAACCTCAGAAAGGGAACATCATATCATGGACAGTAGGTTGGAAGCAGCACTTGGTTTTTCAGAGCTACCAAGAGTGTTTACCATCCGTACCTCCTCCCCCACTTCCAAATTCAGAGCCAGCAGTCACCTGCTGTCTGGGGCAGAGTTTTGGAGGGGCTGATCTTTCTTCCATGCCAAACTGAGGAGTTGCTCACATGCCACCTACAGAGTTAGGTGGTTTTCCCATATTGGAGGCTACACCTCAATTCCACTTGGAGCTGCAGAGTCCAGCTAGAGCAAAATCCATCATAGTTGGCTAAGCAGAGCTCCTGGAAGTGCCTTTGTAACACACCAGGAAGCAAGTCCACCTTATGGAGCCCTGGATGCGTCCCAACAGCTATCCCCAGAACCTCAGTAAGGCCTAGATTCTGGGAAAGGCATGTGACTCACGGCAAGCTGGCAAAGAACCAGGCTGGTGGCTACAGAGCGAGCACACTCCCTGGACAGGTTTGTATGGTTCCAGTAGAACTTCAAACGGAATCAAGAACTGAGATTAGAGGCAGGTAGGAAAGAGGAAGTAGTACAGTGCTTCCTTTTGAGGTGCCTTATACCTGCTTGAGAAGGGTCCAAGATGAATCCCAAATGGCCCTTGGAAAACACCTGGGCAAGGGAACAAGTTCATGAGCCAGGACTCCAAGCCTTCCTCAGAGCCAAGGCCAGAACCCATTTCCCTGCGTTTTGGGGAAATATTTCAGACCTGCGGGTAAAGGGTGCTACGGAGTCCATTGCATAACAAAGGCAGAATGAAACAAAAAAAAATCTCTTTTGAGGACAGAAAGCTCTCTTTCTCAAAGAAGAGGGTCCAGAGGACACTGAGACAAGGAATCTAGGGGCCAAGCTCTTTAAATGTTCTCAAAGTCACAGCATTGAGAGTAGAGGGAGGGGTGTTGCATAACACCATAATATATATATTAAATGTTTGCACTCCTCAGCTACTGTAAAGTGTCTGACAGTGAGGTAATGGTCCGCGTTGATCAAGTCTATGAGTTTGTCTTCACCTAAGACAGCTAGAGTGTCTCCTGGGAAAAGGAGCCTCAGGGAGTGTTCAGGCCCAGCTGTCCTTGCATCACCCCCAGATACATCAGTGGGAGCATCCTTTCCTAGCCTAAAGCTCCGGCCGAGTGTGAGATTTCATGCAGGCTGGAGCCCCTGACAACTGACAACGTCCACCACCTGTTGCATAGCATCTGTCAGCCTTTTCTTAGGAGCTAGCTAGCAAGCTAGGCAGACCCCTGGGCTCCTCAGTCAGCTGCCTGCTGAGAAGCCAAAGGCGCCAGAGGATGAAGCACTCTGATGAGCCAGGGAAGAGGGAGAGCTGGGTTTTAAGGTTTCCAAGAATGCAAGCCCTTATTGTGTGTGCACTGGCTGCAATGCATTCTGGGATCTACTGTTCAGACTGTCCCACCCTAACCAAAATGTGCAAATTACTAAAGGGGAAAGGGAGGTTAAAATATAAACGTGTCTTTGCAAGAGAGAAGAGTCAGGCTTTTTGGTCAGTTAGTAGCCACTGAGGTACGCAATTCTTTTCTGCAGTTGCTGCTGCCGGCACCGGAGCTGCCTTTTCTCTGTAGCCATCCTCTTCTCAGCCCCTACTAGGGCTTGCAGATATTCCAAGGCCTTGCTGAGGATCACTACTTTGGGGGCCTTGGAGCAGCTGGCCAAGGTGGGCACCTGGTCCCTCAGGGCCAAGAACCGTGAGCGGAGGTCATTTCGCCTTTTGCGCTCCAAGAAGTTATGGTTCCTCCTCTTGCTCATGTCCTCAGTATCAGAACTGACGGGTCTGAGGCGGCAGGGCTGAGGCGCCTCACTTTCTACAGGTGGGGGGCTCACAATCTCTTCCTCCTCATCCTCTTGCTTCTCTGTGGGTGATTCTCTCTCCATAGTCTCTTCCTGGGGACCCCTGTCTGGGGCTTCTTCTTGGGAGCAACTTTCTGGAGGAAACCGGGCAGCATAGTTGTGCTGTTGCTGATGGATGGAGATATGGAAGTGTTTCATGCAGGGATCCAGAGGGTCTGCCCGCACTGTGATGGTGACTGGCTTCCGCATACCCAGAGACTGCCTTTTCTCCACCGTCACAACATCGATTTCTTCACCCTCTATGCAAGAAGAGAAGAAATACATCCCATGAGAAACACATACACAGTCCGTGCAGCTTTAGTGCTCCCTGCCAGACCTTGGGAAGGTAAGGGACATTTTCCCCATTTAGATATCAACAAATTGAAGTGAGGAGAAAGACAGCCGATTCATTTGTACTGGGCAAAGGGCAGAGTGAAGGGAAGGAGGGGAAATAACCAAGAAGGAAAATATTCTCTAATTTCCTTTTGCACAGTAAGGCTTAGATTAGAACAAAAGGCGGACCCAAGCCAACAGCCCCCAATCTGCACAGACTCTCCCCTCCCCCACTGAGGGGATAGAGAGAAAGAGCTACCGGCCTGGGACAAAGTTTAGCTAAAAAGATCTTCCCCAGTCGGGCTCTTTCATGCCCAATCGGAATTGTAAATGAGGGGTCTGTGGGCAGAGCTGCCCTTTGTTCCTGCCCAGCACAGCCTGCACTTGGGAATTGTTACTTTTCACAAGTTATAAATCCTATTATTCTCCCACCTCTCTATTCTGCCATCCTTTCAGTTGAAGCTTCGGAGAAGGGAGGGCTACAACCATCCCTTCTCACTCACAGAAGGGAGGGAGAGAGTCTCCCTGAGGAGTGTTTTGCTCTTAGGTTCAACGGGTTTCTAAAGTCATCCATCATTTATAGGTCACCCACCCCACCCCCTTCCCTGGACCGGTGGGTTGGATTTGTAATCAGAGGACGCCAAAGGCTGCAGGAACTTCACAAAGGTACAAGCAACCATTTCCAAGCTATCTACATCAGAGGCAGAGAATGAGCAGCACAACGACCCAGTTAAAAGGACCAAAATGCAAGAGACCTGAGACACCAGAACGTATCCTCACCATTCCTTGGCGCAAAGATCTGTTAGATTAACCCAACCAGGGGAGAAGCAACTGGGGGAAAAAACCCGCTTGTTTCCCATATTTTGCAGCTCCCACACAGGAGGCCACCTTAATGCATTCTGGCTGGACAACAGAAGAGCTCCGTTCTCAGCCTCTTTTGCATATCAGGAAGCTTGAGTCCCTTTGTCAGGAAGGCTTCCATTGTGTGGACAATCGCATTATTTCTCCATTAATAAAACCTGACCATTCAGCCCTCCTGGCCCCAAAGCCTGTGATTGGCTGGCTAAGCTGTGCTTGGAATGCTATTTTACCCAGCCCCTAGCCCCCATTGGCTGAGCCCTGCTGTCAATCACACTCCCCACCCCCCACTCATTGTTTGCAATCTGTTGCATTTTGCTCTAGACCATGTGGCCTGAGAGTGAACCGGGGGCCCACAAACAGGTTCAGGTTAAAGGGCAGGTCAGGAAATGATTCAGGAGGCTTCCCTAAATCCCAGATTTTTTATTTTCTCTGTTAAACCCCACGACTGGTAAGTCTCTAAGAAAGAAACAATTTAAAACCCTATTCTCCTTTTCCAGAGCATAGTGTCTGACCCTAGCCAGATAAGGAAATGTCCTCAGCAGGACAATCAGGCTCAACCCCCTCATTTGCAAAGGAGGAAACTGGGGCCCAGGCCAACCAAGCCCGCAGATCACCTTTGTAACGTTCTGAGCCTCAGACCTTCAAACTCCAGAAGCAATGCCCTTCCCACCCTATAACCCTACTAGTCTACGTAGAAACACTTCTTCAATGGTTTCTTGAGCTCAAGACTCCTATTCCAGCCATTAAATAAACACAAGCTCTTGGTGTAGAGAGAGAACAGGCTAAAAGCAACCTTTTACACAGTGGATCGAACAAAAAGTAACTTAATTTTTCTTGTTATCCTCATTTTCCCCTTAAGTGTAGGACTTCCATACCCCATATTCCCCGGTTCCCTCTTTTTCTTCTTTTATTTATTTATATATGAATGTATTTACATGTCTTGAAACAGTCTCACTATGTAGTTCAGGCTGGCCTCAAAGTCTTAGTGATGATCCTCCTGCCTCAGCCTCCAAAGTGCTAGGATTGCACGCATGTACCACCGCACCTGGCCCCAGTTCCCTCTTGAATGTCCATGTAAATTATTATTTTTTTCATGTAAATTATTCCTTTTTTTCCCATGTAAATTATTCTTAACAACTTCAGTGAGTTTTCCATGTCCCGATTTGTGTGACCCTAGCTTCAGTCTACACCCTTCAAGAGGATCCTTTCCAGTACTTCTCACAGGTACACACATCTAAGAGGGCTAAGAGGCTAGGGGAAGAGTACCATAGTCCAATGGCACAGGCGCTCATCTGCCCTAGTGTCTTTGCTCTTGCATCAAGGATGGGGGAGTAGGGCCTGGCATTCTATGGCCATGACCCCAGTATCTAGCTCACAGGCTGGCACAAAGTGGGGGCCAGAGAACATTTGCCGAATGCAAGATAACAAAGCCAGGACACCTTTCAACCTTAGATGAAAGCAGCAGGTTAGCCTTTCTCAGACCATGAAGACCTTCAACATCAAGGAAGAGTGCTTGGCTGGAATGGAGCATGGGGAAAAAAAGCTGGCTAAATGGTAGGAAGCTAAGGTTCCCTCTGGGGATTTCCCATGTCTAGACCTCAGTTTTCCCATCTGCTAATGGGGAGCATTTATTCCTCCCCTAGCTAACTCATGGGTGATGCGCAAGTGGTAAAAGTGGGAGCAGTGAGAGGGGCTTTTGAAAGCAAAGCGGGGAGGAAATCTAGATTTTTTAAAGGATGGAGGCTTTGGCTTTGCAAAAAGGCTTTTCTTGTCTCCCTAGGGGAGTGTGAGTTTCCCAGGGAAAAAGGCAGCAACAAAAAAGCTTCAAGCTTGAAGTGACTGTTAAGGGCCCCCTTCCAACCTCTCATGGACAAAAATTCCCTACAGTCCAACCCAAGTATTGTTCTCTCTAAGTGCCAACCCTCACCCTGTCCCCCTGGGTCCCCTGGGGCTCCAATCATCGGAGGGCCTCTGGCTCCCTCCCCACTTCTCCAAACTGTTTACCAACACACCCACGTGCCAGACAGACACTGCTGGGGGCTACACCGGCAGCTCCAGCCAGAAGAAGGGGAGGTGACAGAAAGACGAGAAAACGCAGTGCCAGACCTCAGGCAGCGGTAGAGCTCTGGCCACCCATGGGGTGCCCCCCTCCTTAGATGGCCCGAGGTGGTCCTTACCCGAGTCGCTTGGGCTCTCGGACCCCGAGCAGGCCTGGGTCTTTGGCTCACCCAGCTGACAGGGGGTGGCGGGCGCCGGATTGCCGGCTTCGAGACTGGGAGTGCAGTCGGGAGCTGCAGGCGCCTTGGGCGGGTTCCCCCGGGACGCGCCAGGGGCCAGCCGGTCGCTCACCGCTCTCTCCAGCCGTTCTCGGGCAGAGAAGCCGCTCCACATGCAATCACGACGTATGATGGAAGCGTAGTTCCTGCCCCAAGCTTTTGAGTGGCCCCGAGATTCCGCCTCGTCCCCGACGCCCCCACCGGGCCAAGGCTCCGAGGGACCAATTCCTGGCGCTGGGTCCCCGGCGCCAGGACCGGAGCCCCAGGGCGGCGACGTGGGGGGCGACGGCACCAGCTCGAATTTCTTCCAGATGTCCTCGCTGGGCGCCGTGGAGCGGTAGAAATCCTCCCCGCAGTCGTAGTCGTAGAAATAGTGCTGGTACGAATCGAAGTCCATGTCCGCTCCCTGCGGGAGGGAAGTGGGGACGGGCTAACTGGGCTGGGGACAGAGGGGAGGAGGGGACACTGGGTCCCCGGGCACGGTCGGCTGCCGAGCTCTCGTTCCTCCCCAAACCCACCGGCTCGCAGCCTGCGCCCTGCCTTCGCGTCCCGGGAAGCCTGGCCGCGGGCCAGAGCTCCCAGGGAAGAGGCTCACAGCGCGCGGACCAGGCTGCGGGGAGCGAGTTCAAAGCAAACTTTGCCAGCGCCGCCCGGAGCGCAGCTCCCAGGGCCCGGCCGGGCCGGGCGGGGGCGCGCTGTGCCCAATAGGCAGCCTGCAGCTTGCAGGCTGCTCGCCCCCCCGGGACCCGTGCCCGTGCCCGGGCCACCCGCAGCCTCACCTTGCTCCCGCCGCCCACCACCTGGAGCGGACAGGCTCCCCGCCGGCTCGCGGCAGCCGGGCAGCCCGCACACATACACATGCACGCCACAGAGCGCGCGGCCCGCACTCACGAGCGCGCTCCCCGCGCGCGCGTCCCGCGCCTCGCTCGCGCACAGCGGCCCGGACGCTCCCGAGATCGGCGCGGGAGCGCGAGCTGCTGGCGCATTGTTTCCCGGCTGCCTTATATCTAGACGTGCGCCCCGGGCTCTGGGACCACGGGGGTGGGCCCTATGGGATAAGCCCCGCCCCTCCCCGCCCTGCCCCCGGCAGTCGACAGGTGGGGCCGGCCCCACCTCTTGGCTGAGCTCGACCTCCCCATTCTATGCCTGTGACCCCCCCCCCCAAATAAATTGCACGCCGGGGAGCGCGGAGCGGGAGGTGAGTTGCTGCAGCTGCGCGGTCGCAGGGTGGAAGTGTGACTAGGGCGCCACCAGCGGCGCCAGCCGGCCGAACTCAAGCTGCGCACCTTGGCCACTCTGCGCGGGAGAGTAGAGCTGCTCTTGCCCCACCCCGGAGCCTGCTTCCCCGGGCGCGCCCCGCTGGGTTCAGGTGCGTCCCGCCCAGTGGTGCGGAGCGGGGCCGTGGCACCTCCACCGCGCCACCTGGCGGCCCTAGGCCCAGAACTGGGACGTCCCGACGTCCGCTTCGTCACCCTTGGCTCATTTCTTTAGCTCAGCTGCCCGAATCTGAACTGTAGTGAAGCAAAGCGAAGACTGCGGGCTTTGAAGTCAGCGACTTAACCTTTCTAAACTTCACTTACATCTGTAAGATGAGAAGGATGGTAGTACTGGCCTCACTGGGTTGTTGGGAGGATTTAAGATACAAAAGCACTCCACGAAGGGACTGGGCCAGCCCGGAGGCCCCCACCCCGTGCTTGCCCACCTCTAAGTCACTCCTCTGTCCCCACGCAACATTCCGCAGGAGTTTTTCCAGTAGAGGAAAGAGAATGAGGACTAGGAACCTGGAACTTCGTTCAGACCCCTTCTTTGTCGCTTGCTGCTCGTTTGGTTGAAACTGTCCCGCATCTCTGGCCAAAATGATGGACCTATGATTCCTCTTTGTCATTTTCTATGCCGACTGAAGACAAGAAACTAAACTATTCAGCGTGTCTGAAATTTAGACCCAAGGAAAGTAACTTGGGATAGCAGCCAGTATGTGGAGAATCCACCTGGCATCCAGGTCTGGTGTCTGTCTGCCCTGCCTGATTGCCTGCTGTCTCTTTCCCTCCCACACTGTGGTTTAAGAACATCAAACTACTATTGCCGCGGGCAAAAGTGAGAGGTGGAAGCAGTTGGATGTGGTTAGAGCAGAGGACGTGGAGGTGTCAATTGATATACGGGATTGGGAAGGAAGGCAGGGAAGATGACTCCCTCAGTCTTGCATTTGTTGGTTCTAAGGTGCATATGGGACATCCCTGAAGGCAGGAGCTAGTTCTTGCTTTGTAATAATCTCTGCACCTAAAAGAGCTTCTGGCAGATAATTAGTTTAATTTTTATTTTTGCCAGTACAGATAATTAATTCATTTTGTTTTGGTTTTTGGTTTTTGGTGTTTTTGAGACAGGGTCTCGCTGTATAGTTCAGGCTGCCCCTGAACTCACTTGTAGCTCAGGCTGGCCTCGAACTTGAGGCAATCCTCCTGCCTCAGCCTCCTGAGTCCTGGGATTACAGGCATGTACCACCATGCCTGGCAATAACTGTTTTTTTAATTTTTATTTTTACAAGCATATGTTTGCAGTACATAATGAATGCATTCACCCTAGGGAGCTGGTACGTGGACACAGTAGATCTTGATTCTTTTTGCACCCCTCCCCTGCTTCTCCCTTCCCCTCTCTCCATCTCTGGGTTCTTCTGTGAACCCGTTTACCAAGTGACCCTCCCAACCAGATTGTACAGAGGCAGCCTGTGTTGCCCTGTTCTGTGCTGAACAGAAGGCCCAGAACAAATTCCAAATTTAGTTACAGCCAAGAGGCAGAGGGAGGATTGGGTGCCTTGTTCTCTGGCCCACAGATGTCTGGAATGATTTCCATACCGGTAGGGTTCTTGGTGATAAATGACAGAAATCAACCTCAGGTCATTTAAACAGAAAATTACTTTATCAGGAGAATTTGGGGTGTGGGATTCATGGGAGGCTGGGGATCTATGTTTTCTCTAGACAGGGGCCCCGACTCAGTAGCCTTTCCCCATGGTTTCGTTGTCCTAGATGGTATCTGGGGGCAGCCATAAGGTGCCACTTTGCAAAGCAGGAAGAAAGCAACTGAGTTGTCTTCTGAGAATTATGCTGCTCCTTGCCTTTGCATACTTTTGTTTGATGTCCTTCCTCCTGAGCAGATAGGAAGCTCAACGTGAGCAGGGACAAATGTCAGTCTTGTTCACTGCTGTAACCCCGGGTCTTAGACCAGAGCCTGGCGTATCATGAGTACTTAGTAACTGTGTTGCCTGTTTGGCTAAACACAAATCTCTGAAGCGTTAATACAGAAATGTGCCAGCTTGCCTGAGGGAGTGAGAATAACTGACGCAGTCTAGACTAGAGCCTACTCAAAGGGATTTTTGTAGTGCTGGGCAGGCTGGACCCATTTATAATCCCAGCTACTCACAGGCTAAGGTAGGAATTTCACTTGAGCCCAGCCCAGGAATCAGAAGCCAACCCGGGCAACATAATGAGACCCCCGTATTTAAAAAAAAAATTAATGTCCCTAAGCAGAAGTAGCAGTTAGGAGGTCTGGGCAGCTGAAGAAGCCAGAGATCAAGGAGGGTTGCTAAGGAAATCTCCAGCAGTGGCCATCAGAACACTCTGGAGACAAAAACGCTGACCTAGGAACAGGGGAAATGAAGGCAACATTCTTTGAAGTCACCAAATTCATCCCCCCCACCTCATGCTCTGGATCACCAAGCAACCCTCTGAAAACCATTCTGTTACCCATGTAGCTTTGCCCACAGGGAGAGCATGTGCTCAGCAGTGAATTGGAGGATCCGGTCTGCTTCAAAGCCCTACTTCCCCTTATACATTAATGAATTGGCATCTGATTTGAAATATCAGCCTCATGAGCCTGGTTAGTGCATGTCTGTTCCATAGAGATGCTGCAGCTTTTAGGACTAACAACTGTGGTTTCAGAGCTAATGTCTGGACCCAGAATGGTGATAAATTCACCAAAGTAACAAATACCACCCTAAGGACATCTAATTTATCTGCAATTTCTTATTCTAACATTTTTTTGTCCATTGAGGCACTTATTTATTTATTTATTTGTATGTATGTATGTATTATAACCCTAAAAAAAAGAACTCCAGGATTTCTGCTCCAGTATGCTTTTTCTTGCTTCTTTGGAGTCCATAATGCCTGCTGAGCTTGTCAGTATGATTCGAGCAGACTGGTGTGAGGGAGCAGACCCTTCTGCCATTTTTCTTTTCTTTTTTTTTTTTTTCTTTGAGACGGGTCTCGCTATGTGGTTCAGGCTGGCCTTGAGCTCACTTTGTAGCCCAGGCTGGCCTTGAACTCACAGAGATCCTCCTGCTTCAGCCTCCCGAGTGCTGGGATTACAGGCGTGAGCTACTATACCCGGTTCCCTTCTGCCATTTTTCCAGAGCACTGAGTTGCTCATCAAACCCAGGAATGAGTACTGCATACTTGTGAGTTCACAACCAGCTCTCTGATCATTGATGTATGATTAGCAGTGTATCTATGTTTCATCATCACAGTTAGAAACCAGACAATGATTTTGGAGCACAGCCTAATAAGGACCTGGTGCTCTACCCTGGAGTTACATCCCCAGCCTTTTTGATTTATTTTGGGGCAAGGTCTTGGTAACTTGCCTAGGAATTTTGATTCCCCCTTTAAGCCTCCCAATTAGTTGGGATTATAGGTATGTGCCACCACACCAGATCTTCTTTTTTGTGTGTGTGGTGCTGATGATTGAGCCCAGGGCCTTGTGCATGGAAGGCAAGAGCTCTGCAATTAAGCCACATCCACAGTCCCTCCCACTGGGTCTTTTTGATTCTCTTTGTTTGTTTGTATAGAGGTAGGTTCTCACAATGTAGTCCAGGCATAACTTGAACTTGTTATGTAGCCTGGGCTGGGTTCAAACACATGGTCTCTCTAATCAGCCCAGTGCTGATTACAGGTGTAAGCCATCATGCCTGGCTCTTAGAGCATTTTGCATGCTCTTGAGAATACCATCCAGGGCATTCATGTGCACAATTATTTTTTTTAATGTGCACAATTATGATAGCACCATGGAAATATGGAAGAAAGAATTAAAACATAGTTTTAATCTTTTTCTTTTTTTCAGTGTTGGGGGTTGAATCCAAGGCCTTGTGCATGATAGACAAATGCCCCACTATGGAGCTACAATCCCAGCCCCCAAACATATTTTTAATTACAACAATACACAAATATAGTTTTTAAAAAATCAACTAAGCATAGGACAAAGTTTAAAAGATTATCCTCAGCTGGACTTGGTGGTGCATGCCTGTAATCCCAGTACTTTCGAGGCTGAGGCAGGAAGATCAACGCAAGTTCGAGGCCAGCCTGGGCTACATAGTGGGTTCAAGGCCAGCCCAAACTATATTGTGAGACCCTGTCTAAAAAACCAAAAAAAAAGAAAAGTTAGTACATATACCAGTAATACTGATACCTCAATCTTCTTCTTCTTTTTTTTTTTTTTTTTTTTGAGACAGGGTCTCTCTCTATATTCTAGGCCGGCCTTAAACTCACTATGTAGCCCAGGCTGGCCTCGAACTCATGGCAATCCTCTTGCCTCAGCCTCTTAAGTGTTGGGATTACAAATGTGCGCCACAACACCCAGTTTACCTCAGTTTTTTTGACTGGCTTTTGTCCCTAATCTTTCTTTGCATATTTTGAACAATACAGATCATCTATTTTTCCTGACTTGGAATTTCTATTGACATTGTGCAACAGAAAAAGGTAATTCTTGTATTTCCCTTCTGTTTCCTTGTACTTGCTCTTTACTTGTTCTCCCCATTGAATTATAGTTTAATTTTGATTTATTGTATTTATTTAGACAGGTTTTTGCTGTGTGGTTCAGGCTGGCCTTAAACTTGCTGTGTCACCCAGGTTGGGTTTGAACTCATGATTCTTTCCCCTCAGCCTCCCAGTTGTACGGTTCAGTTTTTCTGTGTGCGTGCCTGCATGGGTATGTGGTATGGAGGGCTGAACTAAGGGGCCTTTGCACTGATTCCATCTTCAGCTCTTTTTTAAATTTATTTTTTATTTTTGAGACAAATGCTTACTAAGT